AAAAAAAAGAGATGGAAAAAAAACATAATCAAAGAAAACATAGACATCAACAAATGACAAAGATCAGCGAATGGTTGCCATTTCCACCCAGTTAAGATAATATGGAAAAATAGAAGTCAAACAAACTGCTTACTGACGGACGGATGATATGAGCGATCAGCAAGAAAAAAAAAAAAAACTCCCATGATCAGTTTTTCGATTGTCACATTCGCCTTCATACTGATAACAAAAACCAAAACATCAGACAGCAGAAACAACAACAAACAACTTCATTGCAAGCATAATTAAAAATTTCAATTATAGAAAGTGAAGAAGACGTGCATTTTGTTTTCTTTATATGATAATAACAAAAAGTACTCAAGATGAAGATAAAAAAAAAGAAAGCAAAACAACGAAAAACAAAGTCTTATAAACAACGGCTGCTTAGGCAATAATTTATCCAAATAAGTAAAGGCAAAAAAAATTTTGCCATTAGTTTCAATCCTCGCAATTTTTTTTCTTTCTGTTTCAAAGCAATCTGTTTCAAAAGAGTTCTAAAATTGACACATTAAAATTACGTAACATCTCCTGCGACCAGTAAAGCCAATGTTTTTTTTTTTTTCTGCTTTTACTGTAACTGATGAATATTATGCAAAATGTAAAAGACAGATGAAAAGAGGAAAAAAAAAACGAAATTGAAGATAAGATATAAAAAGTGTTTGAATGAAGGAATATGTATGTGATGTTTATGTGGAGGTTAAACGGAAGAAGAAAGGATGAGGGAAATAACAGAAATGAATGAATTCAGAATTGGGTGTCGACTTTCATTGTTGACTGAGAATACACCGGCTGAGTCATTCACCTAATCATTCACTCAGTTGCCTCCTCAATAACTTGGTTACTCAATCGTCTTCACCAGTTCATTCGTGTACCCCTCTAGTGGCCGTCAAAGCAAAAATGTGTTTGTATGCATCAAAGACTATGTAATATTTCATTGGCCAAAAAAAACTGAAAAACAGCACCAACAACAACAACAACAACAACAGCAACAGCAGCAGCAGAACCAAGCAGATGTGTTTCAGAGAAAGAGAAAGAGCCAAAAAAAATTGACCATGAAGAGGAACGATGCATGCAAATCGTTGAATCGACGACGGACCTCCAAATGGCTATCGTTATGTTCTGTTGTTGAACTTCTTTGTATATTGCCAGAAAACCAATTTTATATTTGTTCCATTAGATGCATCAAATATTCCTCTGACATCTTCTTGTGCTCCTATACTCTTATCTGTAAAATAAGTGCAAAACTTTCTTCTTTTTTTTTTGATGTGTTGCTTTTAGTAACTATGAACCATTAAGCCATTAAAAAAAAAAAAAATTTTTTTTTTCTAGAAATTGGCGTAATTTGCATTGATTTTTTTTTTCTTTGCTATTTTGAAAGCAATTCCGGGTATTATGCAAATCTTTTTTTTTTTTTTTTTT